ATTTGAGCATGTATTGAATAATTGGCCTTTGAAGGGGAGGGAGGGATGAAGAGAATGCAGAGGCATTTATGCACATCTGTCTGGCGGCTTTTTTTTTTTCTGAGAAGCAAGTCATCAGTTAGGGGATGAAGGGGCAGATAGAGTCAAGAGGGCTTGAAACAGTTTTTAAAAAGGGAATGAAGAAACACAGTAAGATTACTGGCAGCGCTGACAGCCTGATTGAAGGTGGTGACTATGAATTCACAGTGCTACAAACCTACCAGAAACATGACCTCCAGCTGCCTGGATGTAGCAGCAGCATTGTGTCCATCTAGGCTTGGCGTTTTGCCAGGTGGCCACACTACCACAGTAGCATACATGCCCTTAAATTATTTACATTTGCTAAAGTCTAGTCAACCAAAGACATCCAGGCTCAAGCCTGTAGTCTGACAAAATCAATATTTATTGACATGCAAGGGGGCACACTCCAGGGGGACTGTGGATGGCGTGATCCACAGCGGGAGGAGGGTGCCCTCTTTGGTGAGGGTGGATTCCTGCTGAAGGATTCTGAGGAAGCCCTAAGGGAAGGGAGACTGGTTCTGAGTTAGATGTTTCTGCAGCAGGATTAGGAGAGGCAGGGACTAACTAGGGATGGGGCGCTGTCATGAGGCATGAGTGGTTAGTAACTGGGTATCCCCAGTAATAGATGGTGGGGATAGCAAACTAGGTCTGGGGGCCTCTTTGGTAACAAAGCAGTGGTCACCCAAAGAAGGGGACATGCTGACATTTTATAGCTGCTACATGACCTTGGAAGAAACAACGTTTCCTGTTAACTTTGCAGCTGGCTTTATCTGTGTCTGTCCTCCCAGCCTGATTAACCGCAGGGCTGCTTTTTTCTTTTTCAGTCCAAGCTGATTTTCAGTCCTTCAGTCCTGGACAGGTTTTTACCCTTTCATACCAAGCATCCTCCTCTCTTACTAAATGTGATTTTTGTTTTTTTTGACAAATTACAACTTAATCCATACCTATCTGTCCTCCCTATAGATAAGATTAAATGAAATACCTAGTTGTAGAATTGCCCCTGCTTTCTGACAACTTCCAGAGTGAACCTCCAGTTTCTTAGACCCTCTCCCAAATCATCCAACCAAAGCCCAAATCCTGTAATAGGTCCTTTCTAACACCCTCTTACTGACACCCCCAGTTCCCCACAGTGTATATTCTGCTTTACTGCAACAAGTACTAAACCCAACATATTCAAGTACAGGTATGCTCCTAATAGACTTTGGCTGGAAGGGCATTGACAACATAAAGACAGAGGGTCTGAGTTGATGACATGACTGGCAGGTTCAGACCAATATTTGCACTTTGTTGCCAGAACAGAAGACTGTGATATTCACTGGCACCTTTGAGTCCTTGCTCATTGGAGACTTGTACTAACAATCCCTACAAAAGACTTACTGACCTGTTTCTGTTGAAGAAATAGCAATCCTAAAGGCAAATAATTGTGGCAAAGGGCCAACTCTTCCTTTCATTATGTACTTTTGCAGTTTTAAAATACATCCACACATTCCTTAATGACATCCTGATATGGCTTTAGAGACTCACTTAGAACCAAAAGACTGTGGTGGAAGTAATGGCTGTGTGCAGCTTCCAAATGCAGTTCTTCCTGGGTCTTTGGCAATACTCTCTCTCAAAAATCCAGCTGCCATGTTGTGAGAAGTCCAAGCCATATGGACAGGCCATGTGTAAGTGGCTCTGGTCTAGTGATGGCTTCAAGTCATCTCAGCCCAGTCATCAGCCATGTGAGTGAGGTAGTGAAGAAGACTCCAGATGATTACAGCCCCCAGCTGTAAGCCAGCCCCAGTCCTTAGTTCTCCCAGCTGAGGCCTCAAACCTTGCAGAATAGAGAAAATGCATCCCTATTGTGCCCTGTCCAAACTCCTGAGCCACAGAATCCATGAGCATAATAAAGTGCTTATTGTTTGAAGACACTGAGTTTGGGTGGTTACTTAAGCAGTACTAGTAACCGGAACATATACTGATCCTGTTGGTAGCTGTTGTGAGTACAGTCATGTGTCACTTAACAACGGGGCTATGTTCTGAGAAACATGCTAGGTGAGCCTCCTCTGATTGAGAAACCTGGAACAATGGCTGTGATCTGCTAGCCAGGCGGCTCACTTGACCTCCTTGGGGAGGAGTAATGGGGGAGCCAGAAGCTGGGATGTTTGATTGAAATCCCTCCTTGTGGAAGGAAAAACAGGAATATGGAAGGAATGTGTTCTTCCCAAGTTATCTAGCCAATACTTCGTCTGATGGAAAGAAATGTGTTGTTAGGCGATTTCATCATTGTGCAAACATCATAGATTGTACTTACACAAACCTACATGGCATAGCCTACTATACACCCAGGCTATATGGTACTACTCTTATGGGACCACTGTCGTACAGGTGGTCTGTTGTTGACCAAACTGTCATTACGTGGGTGCGTGACTGTATAGCAATGGTTGGTAACAATGAGCTAGTGGACAAAACTGGATGGTTATTCACAGAGCAACTTCTAGAAGTTTCAAGTATATTCAGTTAGCATATACTTGGCCCCTGGTCTAATGTACTGCCCCTTTCCTACACCTTCTTCCTCCCACCCCTGAGATTTACAGTAAGCACAGTCTTTAGAGAACTGCAGATTAAGGTAACAGCCACCATGTTATAGGAGCCATTTTGAAAAAAGAATTCTATTACAATTTCTAAAACCCCCAATTACATATATATTTCCCTTCTACAATAAGGAATCTAAAAGTTTTAATGTTTTATGTTTGCTAGTTTTCCCAAGTAGACTTGTTATTGAACCGAATTCTTATTCAACAGACACTGAACAGAATAGTAGACGATTCTGATTTCAAACCTTAATTTTAGGATATCATGTAAAAAAGTTCAACAGAAATTCTCTACAATACCAGGATACCACTCCAAAAACTTAGAGGAAACAAAACTATTTAAATTTTTATTTCCAAAGTCTAATTTTAATCCAGACGGAACAAACAAGCAGAAAAGTGAGAAAGCTAACTGTATTAGCAGACACAGATGTACCAAATGTAAAACAGTGGGTTATTAACAGAACTATTTACATGCACATTTACAAGCAATCCTTTTGTACATAAGTTTTAGTTAGTTGGAAAAAGATTTTTGACATTAGGTAAAAATATTACTTAAATAGGGCTGAGGTGGTACCACATTATAGTAGAAGTATTAGAAAAGTGATCCTCAAGGTGTATCAATTATAAAGCAGATGAAAACTTGAGTGACAAAGATCTAGTAAAATTCTCTAGTAAAAAAGTCAATGCAACTCATGCCACAAAATAAAAATGAGAAAGTCACATAAATAAAGCAAAATAATGTTCTAGGCTTTAGGGTAATGAAGTTAGGTAAAAAAAAATGAACAGTTCTAGAATTGCAATAAAGCCTCAGTGAGGAATCTTAGTTGTTTAGTTGGGAGTTCTAAGTTCGCTTGTTTTTTTTAAATGACATTTTAAAAGCCCTTGGTATCAAACAGCATCTGGATATGTAAGTCAGTTGTTAATGATATATTCTAAGACTTCAGTGCTAAAGAATTTCATGACTGTGATTCATATTTGAAACCCAATTCATTGAGACACTAAATGTAAAACTAAATGAAAGCTATAACTCATATCTAAAAAAAGGATGCTACATTTTTGCAGTAATATATATTTCCAGGCTAAGAATTTTTCCCTCAAGAAAAGTAGAATTTAAAAGATAAGCTTCTAACCAACTAGCAAAATTTACTTTCAACATTTCATTTATTTCAAAATCGATTTTATTGCAACCAAAACAGTGGAATTAACTGTACATAATAAACTATTATATATATATACACATTTAAGTTATAGGGAATAAAGTTTATTTTGGCAGATAGTGTTAAACAAAATTAAACTTGCATACATTAGTAACATAACTCAAAATCCTTAATTTGGTATAAGTGTGACACATTTTCTTGCTTTCCTGTGTTCTGCTAAATCACCATAACCTAAACTGCTTTAAAAACTGATATGCTGAAATTTAGCTTTACTGCTTTCGCTTACGCTCTGATTCCAAACAAAACTTTTCATAAGCTTCTTCTATCTCTGGGTCCATCTCATCATCAATATCATCCAAGTACCTGTGAAAGAAGCAAAGATGATTCATAACTTTAATGTTTTTCAATTCAGAAAATGTCCAAGATGCTAAGCCACGATTAAAGAAAGGATGTGACATAACTTTCCTAGACTGAGTTATACTAGAACTAAAGCACTGTTTAGAATTACATAAATGTCAGTCCTTGGACAAACAAAAGCTTAATTTGCTAAGTTAAATTTTACACTGGATTCTAAGCCCCTTGTGTTTGAAGTTAAGATTCTGCCATACTTGTACTTGTAGAGATAGGTTAAATTCTTTAATCTAATCTCAAAATTAAATTAAAGGCTTGACATATAAACTTAGGGACTCGAGATTGATATTAATTTCATAAATTCACCTCATCAACAATTACACTATAATTAGAACATAATTTCAGATATGCCATTCACTTCTATGATGCAATATCTTATGTCTACTTAACATGAGAAATAATATTCCTGCAATGACAATGTAGTTACATTCTCATTTATTTGGAATTAGACTTTCATAACAAGAAGCTCCTTTCCAGATCATTTGTTTCAGACTTTTTCCAACTATTAGGTAGTTTAAAATGATGGAAAGCAAGGCTTTCCATGGTTAAGTATGGGGCGAAAATTTAAAGTGCCCATTAAGGCTTTAATATACACATTCCTGGGCCAGCCCCGTGGCTTAGCGGTTAAGTGCGCACGCTCCGCTGCTGGCGGCCCGGGTTCAGATCCCGGGCGCGCACCGACGCACCGCTTCTCTGGCCATGCTGAGGCCATGTCCCACATACAGCAACTAGAAGGATGTGCAACTATGACAACTATCTACTGGGGCTTTGGGGGGGAAAAAAAAAATACACATTCTTTAATTCCCACAGCCATTTAAAAAAGATAAGTACTACTATCATCTTCATTTTAGAGATAAAAAAAAAAACCCAGACTCTCAGAGGTTAAATAAATAACACAGGATTTGGGTAAGTATGTGGCAGACCAGAATTTGACTCCAAATCTTTTCCCTTTTCTGCACTTTTCCTCCACAACCAGATGCTGTCTATGTGTCTCCCCACCCCTCAAAAAGCCTTCCACCTACATGTGTGACAAAACTATCTTGCCAATCCTACCAATTGCTTTTTTTTTTTGTGAGGAAGATCGCCCCTGAGCTAACATCTGCCAATCCTCCTCTTTTTGCTGAGGAAGATTGGCCCTGGGCTAACATTCGTGCCCATCTTCCTCTACTTTATATGGGACGCCGCCACAGCATGGCTTGACAAGCTGTGTGTCGGTGCGTGCCCGGAATCCGAACGGGCGAACCCCAGGCCGCCGCAGCGGAGAGTGCCCACTTAACCGCTTGCGCCACTGGGCCGGCCCCCCTACCAATTGCTGATGGGTCTTTTCCTCTTTGTTCCTCCCCCATTTCCAGTATAAGGCCATGCGTTGAAATGGCCACAAGTTCATTAGGGCAAGAGAATATAATGCTTACCAAGCAAAACTTTAGAGGATAACCTGAAATTCAATGCCAAGAACAACTTGAACTTCCAGTGTTATACCCAGCAGGTACCTTCCTTAGGAACCGTCCTAATTGTGCTTGGGTCCTTACATCCCTGTATTTTTTTCTATTAAACTAGTATATAAAAGTATGGCAACATTATATTAGAAGATCTCAAAAACCAGCTTATAATTAAAATGTCACTAAATAGGAGAGAGCATAAAGGTGGTTGGTTCACTTTTTTTTTTCTTTTTAAAACCTACAACACACATGAGAGATGGGATATAAGAAAAACTGAAGTCAGATTTAATTCATTCCTCCCTTTACTTAAGAAGAAGAACCTTTTTTTTTTTTGTGAGGAAGATAGGCCCTGAGCTAACATCTGCCAAACCTCCTCTTTTTTTGCTGAGGAAGAGTGGCCCTCGGCTAACATCTGTGCCCATCTTCCTCCATTTTATATGGGATGCCGCCACAGCATGGCTTGCCAAGCAGTGTGTCTGTGTGCCCCGGGGATCCGAACCGGCAAACCCGGGGCCGCCACAGCGGAGCGCGGGCACTTAACCGCTTGCGCCACAGGCCGGCCCAAGAAGAAGACCTAAGTAGCTTGTCCAAATTCATATAAATTGTTAACAGAGCTAGAACTAAACCTCACAAATTCTTGATCCTTCTATAACAAAATGTAGTGTAATCCGATGGTAAGTCAGTAATATAAATTTCTTTTATTACAATAAACGGCAGGTGAAGAAACTGAGATACGAGAATAGGATGATAACTTACATCTTCCCATCAGTCCAAACATTTTATATAGTAATCTGTGTTTTCTTTAATCTTAATTTATCCACTGACAGCTAAGATTTGAGCCTTTTACTACGTGCTATACAGAAGGCTCTTCCAGCTATTTATGTATTCTCATTTAATTCCCCAAAAAACTCGAGGGCTGCTACAATTCCTACTTTATGGATGGAGAAACAAGCACAGAACTTGCCCAAGGTCTGACTGTATTGGAGCTACTTATTTTAAAGTCTTGGGTATAATAACAGAATCTATTTTATAAAAACTAATTGTGCTTGAATATGCTACATTTTAATCATTTTTTCCCCTCAACTATATGTAAATTTTCAAAATCATAGTTTACATGTTTTCTAATCCGATTATCTAAAAATTTTTGGGAAACAAGTACTACATATATACAACCGTAATACCATCAAATCAAAATGCACTTTCTTTCATCTACTTTTTTCTAGTATAACTCCATCGGTAAACTACAGCCACAGAAATTTCACAAAAAGTTAGTAGCTAACGAGAACTTACGGATCACCAGCCCCTGATAAATCTGTTCCATTTTCTTCATAATCTGGAAAAAAGTCTTCTCTTTCAAGTAACTCTTGATATTTCTCTTGGTAATCTATAAAAAACAAAGAAAAAAATTTACATGCTGAAAAAATTCATACGAAATGGCCAGTTATCCCTAAAAATTTTTTAGCATGACTTTTCATCTAAGTAGATCCAATTTTTAAATAGCAGTACGCTTCCCATTATGTATTTAAGAATAGCTTTTACAAAACATATATTCTAATTGGCTTGCTTTTGCCCCCCTTCATGCTCATAAATATTAGTTACATATATAATCTTCCTTGAAATATAAGTTGGAAATCAAAGCCACTGTGAATATACCAGAGTACATTTCACAGCCAATGTGTATACTGTTTACATTCTCTACTAATTCTTTCCATCAGACGAAGTATTGGCTAGATAACTTGGGAAGAACACATTCCTTCCATATTCCTGTTTTTCCTTCCACAAGGAGGGATTTCAATCAAACATCCCAGCTTCTGGCTCCCCCATTACTCCTCCCCAAGGAGGTCAAGTGAGCCACCTGGCTAGCAGATCACAGCCATTGTTCCATGTTTCTCAATCAGAGGAGGCTCACCTAGCAAAGGTTCTGAGCAAAGGGGATTTTCTTTTCTTCTCTCTCCTTGGAGAGAGCTGGAGCATAGCTAGCTACCTGATAAATGTTTCAGTTATACCAACTTTCCCTAGGTTGGGCTCTTTCAAGGCGTAATACATGTGATATTATCGCTTTCCATCTGCCAATTGTCTTAGGCAGAGTTACTGAGTATCTTTTAAGATCAGCATGTCTATATGGAGTCCTTGTCTCTGAATAATAAAATAGATCAGTGTATAGTAAAACTAGTTACCTTAAAATTAGTTTCTTGTGACCAACCACTACCTCAGATTTCAAGAGGATAATATAATTACACAAGACTGGGTAAAGACCACGTGTTTCCAAAACTGTCAGTCTCTATAAAACTCTAACTCCAGCCTAAATGGTTGGTGATATTCTGACATCCAATTTTGGCAATTTGGAGACCATTTTAATAAATTATAAAACCTTCCTCAACAAATACTGGAGGTAACAGATAAGACAAACATCCTTTTAAATGTATAGATGAGTTCACAAAACAGAAAATTCAGTGACCAGATAGCAGAAGTGAAAAGGGAACTGAAGCCACACAAAACTACTGCAGCCAGGGGGCTGGTAGACCGTGTGGGCTCAGGAACAAACGGCTTGGATTTTAAAATCCACACAAGGTAAGAGAGTAAAGTCTTGGGTCCATGTGAAACAGGGAGAAGGAATTAGGCCCCACACCCGTATCACCCTGCACAAACCCAGGGCCTTCAAAGCGTTGGTATTCTCAAGCAAAATGTGGACCAGGGAAAAAACAAAACAAAAAACACCCTGATGGCACAGTGAGACGGCAAAGGAGCTTGGTTGTCTCTGCCTGGGTTTGGAGTAGAGACAGAAGTACTCTGAAGAAATTGGTTCCCCAGAGAATTTGTAACAATAGGCCTGCACCTCAAATCTCTACTATGCACATAAAGAACCCCTAACTTATTCCAAGCCAGTGTTAGTTACCCCTATGGCTCCTGGCAGGAGCAAATATAAAATCCACTTTGGTTAGATGTTCCTATGATCCAAGCCACAAGGAGTTTTCATGAAGAAAAACAAAAAGGCAGTTAAAACAGTGGAGCACTCATAAAGAGCCAAAATATAGGCAACAACTTCAAATGGTCTAGGAAAAAAAAACTAAGTGTGGAGAGAACAAATAGTAGAGCAAATGGAATAAAGTGTTAACAAAGGTACATACGAGTAAAGGGTAGATGGACGTTCTTTGTTCAATTTTTACTTTTGTAACTTTTCTCTAAGTTTGAGATCATTTCCAAAAAAAGTTTAAGAAAGTTAAATATGAGGTTGTAATAAAAAACGATCACAACATAAGGAAACAATTTTGTGTGTGATAATCAGAAATAACAGCAGGATTAGAATTAAAAGAACAAAAATGTGAAAGAAAAATAAGCATGTTTAGAATGAGAAAAAACAAAGAACCAAAATGAATCAAGCTAACTTTGAAGAATAAGGGAAGGAAGAAAGTCTGTCTTACCAGATATAGCAAGATCTACAGTAAGGTAAGAATAATTTAGAATACAGTATTGGTGTTTAGACCGACAAACAGAAGAAAGATGCACACGCACAGACAGAGGAATAAGACACGTTTACAGAGAAGTTACATGGCACACAACAGAGGGACATTTTATCTAAGAGAAGGACGACTCAACACCTGTTGCTGAGACAATAGCCTACGGAAACGATATTTAACTCCTACCATATCCCAAAATTAGCCAGATAGATTAGAGACCTAATACGAAATGCACCAAAGTAAGATTTTTAGAAGAAAATGGAATTTGATAGTAGTAAGGAAACTTTCTTAAGTCACAGGGAACACAAACAAGACAGATACATTTAGTTTACATCAAAACTCAGAGATTCTATATGACAAGACATCATAAACAAAATTGAAAGATGACACATACTGGGAGAAGCTAAGGATCACTTGCTAGGCTATGTAAGTAATTACAAATCTCTAAGAAAGAAATGATCCAACAGAAATACGGGCAAAGAAGAGAGTCAGGCAATGGTCAAAAGAAGAAATCAAAAGATCAATAGAAACACGAGAAGAAATTCGTATCACTAGTAGGGGAATAAAAGTTCACAATTTTAGGGGCCGGCCCCGTGGCTTAGCAGTTGTGTGCACGCTCCACTACCGGTGGCCTGGGTTCGGATCCCGGGTGCGCACCGACGCACCGCTTCTCCTGCCATGCTGAGGCTGCATCCCACATACAGCAACTAGAAGGATGCGCAACTATGACATGCAACCATCTACTGGGGCTTTGGGGAGAAAAAGGGAAAAAAAGGAGGAGGATTGGCAATAGATGTTAGCTGAGGGACAGTCTTCTTCAGCAAAAAGAGGAGGATTGGCATGGATGTTAGCTCAGGGCTGATCTTCCTCACAAAAAAAAAAGTTCACAATTTTATACAATCAGACTGTCAAAAATTAGGTCTGATAACAGTAAGTGTTGTGAAGGATGAGAAGCATGCTCACTTGCTGCTGTGGGAATATTAAACGGTATAATCATGTTGGAAAGCACTTCAGCAACATTTCCTGAAGTTGAAGTTGCAGACAGCCTATAATGTAACAATTCTACTTCCTCCTCCTGAAGAACTCCTGCATGTGCACAAGGACTACATAACGATGTCTGTACAGCATTGTCTGTAGCAACAAGTGTGAACCACCCAACCATCCATAAGTCGGGGATCTGTAAACTCTGGTTTACTCTGAGGGGAATATTATTTGGCATTTAAAATAACTGAACTAAAGCTACATATATCAACATGGATAAGTACTGAAAATAATAGTGAATAAAAAATAAGCTGCAAAAGGATGTGCACAATAAGATACCATTTAGGTTAATACCACTGTGTGTGATAATACCTATTGTTACAGACACAAATGAAGTATAAAGATATCACAGTGACACCAACTTCAGGAATAGTAATTACCTCTGGGAGAGAAGTGATGGAAGGACTGGACTGGGGGTGAGGGATCAATCATAGAACAGAGAATGGTTTAGTACTATCTGTAGGGTTTTATCTCTTTAAAAAGACCCCAAGTATATATTAATATGACAAAACGACATTGGTTTAATCTTGACAGCGAATCAATAGGTCAGTTTTTTGTGGTTTTTATAGTTTTCAAATGCTTCATAATTTAAAGTTTAAAGTTAAGCAGTTCTTCTTTCCACCTCCCCTGTGCTAGAGGCACAGGATAGTCAGTGCCTGCTATCCAGAGGAAACAAATGGGAGAATTCTGACAATAAGCTGGTTGTAGTTTGTACCAAAAGGGAAAAAGTTCTCTCTTGCTCACACTGCACTCCCATTTATCACAATTAAAGCAATCTTTCTATAAATGGCCTTTTTTCTGGAAGGGAAGGTGTCAGAGATTTAGAGTTAATTAACTTTGATCCACCAAGTATTAAATCCATAATTCTTAGTATCTACAAGTATTAATCCATATTAATGAAATTTGCTGACTACATAGTGAACTAGAATCATCTTTCTCTTTCATTCTAACCACTGGAAAGTTTAGAGTATAAAACAAAATATCAGAGGAAATATAAAATAAAAATGACTGCATTTAATTGAGAGATTCTTCCAATCCTTCACTGTTAGGGTGACAAGACACCACACAGTGAGTCAGACTTTCCATTGGAAATTGTTCTAAGTGGTCACTGTAAGGGATATTCTATATGAGACAAACTTTTACCCTATTTTAGAATGATGTGAA